CATATACAGTATGTATATGTATGAAGTAACTTCAGTTTGATTTAGTTTTATATATTTATGTATTTAAATATATTGGTATAAAAATATGATCTATTCTAATTCTGCATCTAAACATTCAGTAATACACTTTGATTATGACTATAGCTCATGGCCCCATTAAACAAATCAAGTACACAGTCTTGTACTTTGTACCAGCTTTCAAGTACATTTAAATTGATAAAATTCTGTAACATAATTGTGATTAATCTCAGAACTGGCTGATTTGGTTCAAGGCTTTAATAAAGAATGTTTGAAATCCTGATAGTTAAAATTAATAGTGAAAATACTTCTATAACCAGGTCACTGAGAAAGTGGCACACACACACACACACACGCACACAGCCAGACAGACAGACATCTATAAAATAATTAGCTGTTAGATTACATTCGATAAATATACCGTAATTAATAGAATAATAGATGTATAAATGTATTATTATGTATTATTTATTATTATTATTATGAAGTTAGTAGTTAATTTTAATTGTTTTTAATAAAAAAAATTTATTTTAAGAAATTACTGTTATATCCTTCCAAAGTTTTGTATGTATATAAATGATTTTATAATTATTGAATGTAATCTAACAGCTAATTATTCTCTCTCTCTTTAATCTGTAGAAAAAAAATTAATCAAATTATTTTATTTTATGTTATTTAAAGAAATTACTGTTAGATTACATTCAATATCATATTAATTATTAATTAAATCAATTAATGATAATGAATCACATTTAATTAATTTGATTTGATTTTAGGAAATACTGTTAGATTACATTCAGTAATTATACAATATTATTCACACACACTCACACACACACACATATATATATATATATATATATATATATTTTTTTTTTTTCATTAATTATTATGCAATAATTTATATAGATGTACAAATGTAATATTAATTATATAATTATGAATGAATAATTATTTTATTTCATTTCATTTCTGGTAAATCCAGTCAAATTTTCACTGTTCATGCAACTTTTTTGAAGCAAAACTAATTCAAAGAGTTACAGGTTCTTAACTCCATATCATTTACAGTGGAAATTGCACATTATTGTGCATCTCTGAATTACATTGTGTGAGGAAATATTATTGCAGTGCTAATGAAGGTTAATTTGTTTCTCCCCATCAGCAATATTATATTATTTTATGGAAAGTATCGCATTTGATTTCCCTTATGGCCGCTTTTAAGAATCGTAGGTTTTAGTCTCCTGTGCATCTATATTGAGGGTCTATAATATTTTATTAAACTGGAAAAATGAGCATGAAATTAAGTTCTACAGGCATCATTTCTGAGTCTAACCTTTGCCGTGCGCCAAAATTCAAAACACTGTTGGCTGAAGTCTGAAAGGAGGCATTTGAAGAGACTGAGAGACTGTCTTTCTTGAGCTCCTTAAAGTTTCTGTCATTCACTTGAGCTGCTGAATGAAATGTTCCAGAGCGAACCTTCAGGGTAGAGTTTAAACTGTTTTAAAGAGTCTACCTCATTTTAAAAGTTACACCGTGCACAGGGGCGGATTTAGTGATTTGGGGGCCCTACACAATGGTGCCCCATAGTTGTTTCTACATTTTTCAATGTTATAATGGCTTACTTTCATGTTGTAGACCACGAAATAGCAATTGATTTGCAGTTGAGATACCGGTTTTCACAAAAACAAAATAAATTATAAAATGATAAACCTCAAAATCGAGCCTTTAAACAATTTTTTTTTAAAGAAAAGGGATTAGTCAGAAATATAAAGTATTATATTAATTTAAAACGGGGTTATGTGGGTGGATTTTTGCATTGGTCTGAACAAAAACTGCAGACTGGATTATTGAAAATGCACATTCATTCTCTGCCAGTAGGAGGCGCTTTTAGAATATCAGAAATATAGCGGGTTTTTTATTTTGAAATGAAACTGAAAAAATAATTATACGTTTACACACCTAAGGATTATATCAACCAAAAAAGTAACTGTAAATGCGTCCTCTATTGGGTCCTTCTCATAAATGAGTAAGCGGCATTTAAAACAATAAACATATAATACGCACTGCTGCTCAATATTTAATTACAGCTTCAGATGCATGATATTTTCATTTGCTACAAGCAGGACACACAAGAAGCACATTCAACTTGGATACATAAGACGGTTGTCGTGGTAATAAACACCATAAACAGCAACCGTTCACATGTCAGCGCTTATGTGCATCTCGTATATGAAATGCATTTTAGGAGGCTCGTGGCTTTGCCTAATGGGTAAGTCTGCCTCTGTCCGTGCACCATCCATTTCACCTTTCTCTGTTGAACAGAAACACATACCAATTTCATGTGCACACTGTAATTGCTTGAGACGAAGATGGAATTTAAGCTTGAAATTTACATGTGAAAGAAAGCATGTCATTGCATGTGAAATGTTGTGAAACCATTCAAAATCACAGATGAATTAATCGGACATATTCTGACAGCATCCGTAACCACATTCAGACCCTCAGTTTGTAATTGTGAACAAAATCACACTTTTGGATGTTAGACAACATTTGTGAATTAACTTCTGGTTCATTTACCATCATATTTTCAACTTCGGTTTACTTGATTATTCATACATCTTTTTCTTTTTTGAAAAAGCATGTTAAAATATGAATATCAAATATGATACATCAGGCTTTCAAGGAACAGCATTTGTTCATCTCACAATCATCAATGTATTGCATTGCATAATATGTTTTGCCCTCCAAAATAAAAACTACAGAGTTTTGATCATAAAACTAAGCATTTCAAAAACATCTTACTAAGACACATTATTAGGAGAAATAGAGTGAAAACTGATAATTATATGGATTTTATGTACAGTAAATAGTCTATTTTAAACATATCATTGATTTACAAGCTATCATAATTGCATCTTACTTTTTGGCCATATAAATATCAGCATCAGCACCAAAGTTCACAGTTTTGCTCAGTTTGGGCCTTTCATTATAGTATCATACTATATGAGCCATAAAAGCCTGATGTATAAAATATGATTTTCAGTGCAAACTTTATTTATTTTTGTAGATTTTGTCGAAAGGTTCAATAAACCTTTTCAGTTTCAAAAAAATAAAAATAAAATAAATGTGTCTGTGTGTGTGTCTATGTATATATATATATATATATATATATACTATTATTTCATATGTCAGGCTTTTAAAAACATTTTTACAATGCTTGCTGTCTACAGGTGAGTCATAAAAGAAGATTCATTACAAAATGTCTTTTTTCCATACAAAGTCAATGGGACTAATGTTTTAAACCCATTATATGGGCAAATCAGTTGAAACACTCTACAAAACATCATCTTTTGCATGTTGTAGAAGGAAGAAAATCATGAAATGTCAAATCAGAGTAAATGGTGCCATTATTTTTATCTCTTTAAATTGCATTTAACCTGAAAGGGTCCTTTAACTTACAGTAGTAAAGAATATCACACCATATTGTCGTTTAACACCTGATAATCACGAGACAAAAGGTGTATTTTTAAGGTGTGAAGTCTAGTGTTGGCACGTTCGTGCTGCACGTTCGGTATAACACTCCCCAGAAATAACACACACGCATCTGCTTCACAGACATGTTCGCCCATGTCAACACCTCCGTGACATTTGTATTTACAAGCCTGCGATCCGGGGTTGCGGGTGAAAAAGCGCCGGTACGCGACTCGCCAGCCAGTGAGTGGCATTTGTATTGCGGGTTGGTTCTCTCCGGCGCCATTATTGCGATGAATGCTGATGAGCGCAGCCTCTGGAGCTCCGGCTGACAGCCTGGCCTTTTGGCTGAGGAGAAATCAATCACACCGTCAATCGCCACCAGAAGCCATTACCCAGCTTGCCTGCTGGCAGGCTTCACCTCGTTTCTTTCTACCATAACATGTACTTATTTGTCTTCGTCACCTGGTCTTGTTTCACCTTTAGCGTCACCTCATGGGTTGGTAGTCGTTTACATCAATAGCTTTGGGCTAAAGCGGTTTCAAATATATTGCTCCACCTTTGCTTGCTTTAATCGGTTCTGCATTTACCGTTTTGCTTCAGGCAGAATTTAATGATTAGCTCTTGTGAAAGAGTCAATATTTTCTTTTTTTTGGGCTGAAACTTAGTCCCCCCCCCCCCCCCCCCCTGGCTTTTAAAAGAGATGTTCACCCAGAAATGAACATTTGCTGAAAATTTACTTGCCATCAAGCCATCCAAGATCTCGGTGAGTATGTTTCTTCATCAAAGCAGATTTGGAGAAATTTAGCTTTTACATCACTTGCTCAGCAATGGATCCTCTGCAGTGAATGGGTGCCGTCAGAATGAGAGTCCAAACAGCTGATAAAAACCACAATAATCCACAAGTAATCCACACGACTCCAGGCCATCAATTATCATGTTTTGAAGTGAAAACCTGCATGTTTGCAAGAAACAAATCTATTATTAAGATGGTTTATAACTTTAAACCATCACTTCTTGCCAAAATACTAGTCCATAATCCATAATAGCGTTTCCTCCAGTAAAGAAAGTCCATCCCCTGTTGTCCTCTCACATCAAAATCCACTGATTCAGTAGAGACAAGTTTTTCATTGGAGAAAGCAATGTTATGGAAAGAGGACATTACAAACATACAGTTTTTCACTTCACAAAATGTTGATTGATGGACTGGAGTGGTGTGGATTATTGTGATGTTTTTATCAGCTGTTTGGGCTCTCATTCTGACGGCACCCATTCACTGCAGAGGATCCATTGCTGAGCAAGGGATGTAATGCTAAATTTCTCCAAATCTGTTCTGTTGAAGAAACAAACTCATCTACATTTTGGATGACCTGAAGGTAAATAAATTGTCATAAAATTTTAATTTTTGGGTAACTATTCCTTTAAAAACTTATATTTTTCGCTCTGGATTAGAAAATGTGATTTTTTAAATCTTTCCTGAGTAACAGTTTGCTCTTTCTCTCCTTTAACAGATCCCTCAAATCAGCTATGCCTCCACAGCGCCAGAGCTGAGCGATAACACCCGGTACGACTTCTTCTCCCGGGTTGTTCCGCCCGATTCCTACCAGGCCCAGGCTATGCTGGACATCGTGACCGCCATGGGCTGGAACTATGTCTCCACGCTGGCATCTGAGGGGAATTATGGGGAGAGCGGTGTGGAGGCTTTCGTTCAGATCTCACGAGAAACCGGTAAGCTTTCAGAGAGCATTTTGAAGTGTGTTTCAGTACGAGAGCTCCAGATTATCTTCTGATGTTTTTCTCGCTTCACTGATCGCAACTGATTGACTGACTGAATTGAATTTCTATTCAGAGGTGCGACATAGCTTTGTCTTCAAGGGATATATTCCACAGTTTTACAGCATTTTATTTTATTCCATTTTATTTTGTTTTATTTAGTGTTTTTTAAGATTTGTTTTGTTTAATGTTTTTTGTCAAGTGTTTTGTTTTTTGTTTTATTTTGTTTAATTATTATTATTTTTTTTTGTATTTTGTTTCATGTTTCATGTTTTGTTTCATTTGATTTAACGTTTTGTGTTTTGTTGTTTAGTATCTCGCTTCACTGATCGCAACTGATTGACTGACTGAATTGAATTTCTATTCAGAGGTGCGACATAGCTTTGTCTTCAAGGGATATATTCCACAGTTTTACAGCATTTTATTTTATTCCATTTTATTTAGTGTTTTTTAAGATTTGTTTTGTTTAATGTTTTTTGTCAAGTGTTTTGTTTTTTGTTTTATTTTGTTTAATTATTATTTTTTTTTTTTGTATTTTGTTTCATGTTTCATGTTTTGTTTCATTTGATTTAACGTTTTGTGTTTTGTTGTTTAGTTTAATTTTGTTTAATGTTTTGTTTTTGTTTAGTTATTATTTTAGTTCAGTTTTATTTTATTTTAGTTTCATGGTTTTTTTCATTGCATTTTGTTTTGTGTTTTTTGTTGTTTCATGTTTTGTTTCATTTTGTTTAATATCTTTTTGTTTTTTTAAATGTAATGTTTTCTTTCATTTTGTTTAATGTTTTGTTTTCCCCTGGAGTCCCCTTATAATTTAAGACAGGTTTTCTTGTGGCGTAAATTATTAGTTTAATGGTTAGAAAATGGTGATGTAAAACTAAAGGAAAAACACAGCCAATCATTATTTACTCACCCTCATGTACTTAATAAAAAAATGTGTTCCAGTAAAAAAAAAAAAAGTACAATATATGGGTCTGGACTTATATGAAGACGAGTAAATAATGACACTGTTTTCATTTTGGATGAACTACTCCTTTAAAGAGGCTGTATGTGCTACTGTACCTTCAAGATTTCTATACATAAATTATCTCTGTTGCAGCATAAATCACGTTGTTATTTATCAGGGATAGGCAAGTTGCTAAACAAATTGCTATTAATATGTAAATGTGATGTCAATGTTCTGGTGTTTTATAAATAACCTGTTTTTGTATTGTTAGTCAGAGTAAATTATCTGGTTGGATATCTGGTGGGTAGGGAGTTGCATTGAGAATAGAAACTGATGGCTTCATAGTACATTAAAATCTTCTGTTGCAAAAAAGCAATTTTTTTCTGTGATATGTCTGCTTTAATTCTTTCTTTCTTTTTTTAAGGAATCTTTAAAAAAATTACAAATTGCATCATACTGATTTATGGTACAAAGCTTTTTCTGAGTTTGCTGACCAGCATTGTTATACACAAAGCATCACAGAGACTGAATTACATGCTTTGACAGAGATGGAAGGGAAATCGCTGTCTCAACAGAAGAAAGGTCAAGTAACATGAAAAAAAAACAGCTATATTGTAAGGACAGGTCTGAAAACTTCAACCCCATCTTCAGTTCTGTCAAATCTGAGCCATCAAAGTCGAGCAGAGCTTATGTTTTGTTGTCCAGTATTCAGCGATTTTACACAGAAATGAATAATCAAGGAGATAGGAAGGTTAGGAGGTAGAAAAAGATACAAAAAGTGTTCAATTGTGACCTCAAAGAACTCGCCACTCCAGAACTAAAAATCTGTATTCACACTCACACCGCTTTGGATTTCTCTGCTTATTGCTGTTAACCCATAATTCACTTAATTTTGCATCACATAGGTCGCACAGTAATGGCTCACATTCCCATTTTCCCTCCCACACAAGCCTGCAGTAATATAGAGCATTACCGTAAGCACACGTCCAGTGGAAACCACAATTACAGAGAAGCTTATCAATAAAGAAAGAGAGTAGAAGGAAAAGAATGGGCCTTGATATAGAGACATAATTACAGGCACAGGTCCAGTAATGGACTCTCTGCAGCATCCCAGAAGAGCATCATAACCAGCCACATCATGTTCACCTCGTACTGCATGACAGATTTATTATTGGAGTGTGTCTTGCTCATGTAGACACGGACATGCCATGTTAATTATGTTGTAATTATGGAAATACAATTAAAGGAAGAGACACATGTGAGCGATTAACATCGTTCCTCCAGGCTCATCAAGTGTGTTTATCTCCCTGTGTGTGTGTGTGCGCGTGTGTGCTCATCTGTCTGAATGTAATCTAGGTGCTTTATTATGATTTTAACAAGAGCATGCGTTTTTCTTAAAAGTACTGTGGCAGGCCATGGTACAGTGGTTTTGTTAGATGGTAATGCCATGGTATTTTGATACGATATGCACACAAGTTCCTTTGCAAAATCTAAATGATATGTTACTGAATGATATACTGATATTTATTTATGTATGTATTTATGGATTGATGCATTGATTGATTGATTATGAGGGCTTTTATTTATTTATTTCAATGAAAACATTTTTTATTTTGTTTATATATATATACAGTATATATATATATATATATATATATATATATATATATATATACAATATATATAAGTATATATATATATATATATATATATATATATATATATATATATATAGTAATGATAATTATGATATAGTTATTGTGAATAATTTAAATTTAAATTTAATTTGAATATTTAAATAATGTTTTAAAATATTTTATACTAATGATTTACACACATTTAGACATGCAAAAGAAGGCAATACAGTGTAATTTCAGTTTTTATTTTGTCTTGTGGAGTATGTAAATATCTATTATGTAATTTCTTCACGACAGTCTTCAGTAAACCATTTATATGATTTTTTTAATATATATATATATTGTATTTACAGATTCTGCATAGGGTTTGTAAATGTATGAGAAAAGAGAGGGATATATACAATTTTGAGGACAAATTTAGATACATAATTGATTACCATATTTCTTTACAAATATTTTTAAAGGTACTCCCAGGGACATTAAAGCAGGGGTTTTGAAAATGGTGTCAATAAAATTGTAAAAATGTAAAAATAAATAAACAATATCAAATAAATGTAAAAATTTACCGAATTTGAAATGATTAATGTTTCATTCTGCTTTATAAAGTCTAGCCATAAACTAGACTTTCATTATCTCAAATAAAATATAAATATTAGATTAAAAACTAGTTGCCAGCGATTTCTAGTTGTTCTTTTTTGGAATACTAAAATTTTGTAACTAAAATAAAAAATAAATTACAGCTAAATAGAAATATTCAAAAATATTAAATTTATTTTATTTAAATAAAATAAAATAAAGATGAAAAATGTCACAAGCAGACAACAAAATTACTAAAACTTAAACACATAAAATACTAAATACTATAATAGTATATAATTAATTATAAAATAACATTGGACTGATCCCATTGCAAGAGGACAGTCATATTTAGAGATCCAACAAAGACTTTAAAACCCCCTGCTGCTCTGTGCTAAGAATTGTACTTGTCCAAATATAAACCAAATTTGTATTTGTATCAGAACACATTGTTCAGAAAGCGTGTAGCACTTTGTTGTTGATTGTGACTGAAGAAAGTGCATTAAGTCATGAAACTGCTGGAATCTGCTGTATTTTCCTAACTAGCCTTATTGTAAGTCCACTGTTTTACTACTGAATGTTGAACAGCCTTTGTATCTTCATATCAAAAATAACATCAAATACGGCAGTGATGACTAATGAAGTATTGTGTAGACGCAGTTTGACACTACTTTATCCTTCATAGCAGCCAATTACAGAAAAGGACATTTGTACTTGTGTTAAAAATGCTTGTGTGTCCCCCCCAAAGGCCAAACATAAAAGTCAACTGAACGTCATGATGTAAAATTCATAATGCATTCTATGCAAATCAGCCTTTGACACGATCTACACTTTCTTGCATTTAAAATGTGCCCGTTTTCATGAATCAAAAAACGAAACCGTCTCCAGAACGGTAATAACTGGCAGTTAATTATACTCTTGAATAAACAAGCAGTAACCAGATGCTATTAATTTTCGTCTTTCTGCCTGATTGGCATGCAGTGGTGCCTTGCAGCATGGCAAAGTGACCCTCTTCATCATTTAAATCCCCACTACATCATTACTGTAGTGTTTAGGAGGCCGTTCTCAATAGCACGGGAATGCAATCTCTATGTAAATGGTGCATAAGCAACAATAATCATGAAAAATGACGGCAATATACAATTTGCTGCTCCAGATAAAATAGCAGTTTTATGGAAGGGGAAAACAAACACTCGTTTTTCCTTTGGGAGCAACCACGCGCCCATTCATGTTTAGTTTGCCATTGTGAGTTATTTAAAATGGTACAATCTGTCTCTCTGAGATGTCTCATCAGTCTGAATGATCTTGTTACATGATTGGAGAAACTGAAGTTGTGTGTGTGTGACTTTCTCCTGCTGTTCATGTGCTCTACTGTATACAGACAGACAAGTTTAGTGCATGTTTATTAGAAAACAGTAGGTCAGTGTTGTGCTGTTTGACTTTAGGATTTCCTTTTGGGAAAACCTTCAAATATTTGCAACTAGACATTTAGCAGGCATGTTTCATCCAAAGCAGCCGAGTGTTAAAGGGGTCCTATTATGCTCTTTTACTAAGTGCTCTTTTATGCTCTTTTACTTGATTTTGTTTTGGGGGTGTACTAGAACAGGCTCTCATACTAGGTTGTTTGAAAAACACATTATTTTTCACATATTTTACATTATTACAACACCTCTCTCCCCAGTCTGGCATGAACGGCTCGAACAGTTCCTGTATCAAATGAAGGCCCGCCTTCTGAAATACGAAATGTGCTGTGATTGGTTAGCTGGGCCAGTGTGTGTTGTGATTGGTTAGCTGGGCCA